GAAGGATCATAATTCGTAGTAAATGGTGTAGATTGTGTGTCATTGATCGGAGTAGGGACGAAATTAAAAGTATCTACACCTAGCATTTCATCGATATTTGTATTGGATATTGAAGTCAAATCAAAGTTATTGTTTTCTTTTTTCATATTTTTCTCCTGGTTATTGTTGTTGTCGACGCATTTTGGATCAAAATAAAGAATTTTTAAGCATCCATTAGAATTATCTTTATTCACGTCATTCATGTCATAATGTTTATCAGAAACGACACATAAAGGAGCAACATTTTTGAAGAGGATTTTTGCATCTTCAGCAAGCTTCCTATAAGCATTTTTAACGTGTTCGGTCTCTTTATGCCAACTCTCGCTAGCTTTTGTCGAAATTTCTTTTAAAGATAGATCTAGTTTCAATTTTGATATTTCACGATTAAAAACTTTCCGATAAATAATGAATGGATTAGGAGTTCGATTAAATTTAGAATCAGAATTGCTAAGTGATTTTGAAATTAACTCATCGATCGTGATTTTTGGAGGAAATGATGGCTTAAAATTATATATTGATGTAAACGCGGAAGAGGAGGTAGCAATGGTAGTTTTTTTATTGCGATACTTTGGCATGGTATTAAATATATATATTTGAATCAAAGGCTAACCACCTCAAAATTCTTAAAAAAAATAATAATAATAATACAGCAAATATAGAAAAAGAAACGTCAAACATAGAAAAAGAAACGTCAAATATAGAAAAAGAAACGTCAAATATAGAAAAAGAAACGTAAGTTTATTTATGTATTTATACAATGAATTTTTTTATAAAAAAATTATCCGCCTCAAAAAACTAAAAAAAAATCAGCAAACATAGAGAGAAGAAAACATAGGTTTATATATGTATTTTTTATAATGATTTTTTTGAAAAATCAATCAAACAATTACCTTTCATGCGAGACAAATATGGATAATTCTATAATAGTTATATTTAGAGTGCCTCATATAAAAAGTGATTATTTAAAAGCAGATGGTTTTTAAGGCCAAACATTCATTTTTGATACTGATGCACCTACTTTTTTGATGCATCTAAGCATACCCTAAAACTTCTATACTTTTTATTATCTTTTACTATAATTACGTACAATCTTATTGGTTAGTTTTAGGGTATGTTTGGATATATCAAAAAATAGATACAGGTGTATCAAAATTGTAGGTTTTATTTAAAGTTAATTGTTAATTCAGATCACGTGAGAATATATGTATAATATTTTAATGTTCATATTGTTTTTTAAAAATATTTTAAGGCGCATTTTTTTTAGTTTTTTCTTAGTTTAGACCAAGATTTAGGGTTAGAGTTGTTAATAAGAGAGATTGCATATTGTACAATTTTTATCAGGACAGATTCGTAGGCAAAATTTTATCGATCCAATACATTTACATGATCATCCTCTACTTAACTGTAATAAGCGGTTTTTTATGCATCTATATCATTTTTTTGCTAATAGCGGAGTATTTCATAAGGTTTATTAAAGTTCGTTGTTTTTCCTTTCTTTTATTCATAACGTTTTTAGCATTATAAAAAATTGAAAAAAAAAATTAACAAAAAAGGAATGTAAAGATTCCGAATCAGCCCGAACTCAAGATTTAGTCATAATTTTGTATGGAAATATAAATTGGTGTCGTGAAATAAACGGAATAAACGGAATACGCGGAATAAATGTGGTTTTTAAACTTTCCCTAAGAGGGACTTATGAAAATCACATGATGTTGAGTGTGTTTGAGCGCACATACGTACATAATACAGTAATAAGTATGCATTTGTTGTAATGAGAACGAAATTTAAGATGATTTTGGATTTCTTAGGATTTTTAGTGTTAGAGTATAAAATAAATTCTATTCTAAAATTGATTTTATTAAGAATCTGAAACAAATATGAAACTAGTTTGAGGTATAACGAACCTTTTATGCCAAACTCCCAATTTTAGGAAGGATCATGTTACGTGTAGCCATTAACAAGGTTTTTGGGGGGATGTGCGGGGAGTTTTTCTGAGATGTGCGGGGGAGTTTTTTTTGGATGCGCGGGGTGTTTTGATTTCATCTCGTAGTTCCAAATAAATACCAAAAGAAGTTATGTTAATCATGTTAATCATGTTAATCATGCCCAAACTCATTAGAAGTTGGCCGAAGTTGGCTAGTTATAATTATGATAATAAATTAATAATAATATTAATTAACAATAAACAAAGTTAGGTCATGTATGGGGTGTCATTAATTAAATGCACATTACATTTTAGCTAAGTTGTTACAAATAACATGTAACAAACACGATTTTTTATCATTTTGTGTCGGATCTCACTATGTATCGTTTTGATTGACTACACCCCAAATCATAAGAAGAAAAGGTTGCGTTTTCGGCTCTCATATAAAACAAAAGAGAGACATAACTTTGATTTGCTAAAGGGAAAAACTAAAAATTTCTAACAAAAAAGAAGGGTTCTTGTAATTTAGAAGAAATGATAGAGATCAAAAATTAGGGTTTTATAGGAGTTTTAGGAAAAGTGCTTCAAAGTGGTTTTACACGTATTCAAAAATTACTAATATAGCTTAAGAATAATGGCTCATTTAGTCCTTTGTTTGGTGGAAGTTAAAAATGTATAATTTTTTCATACATACTCATTCAATTGAATTCCAAATCACTTTGTATAAACACTTGTCTCGATTTTAGAATCTTCAGAATGGAGATGTACTAAAGCTTGTTATTATAGATATATTAAAAATCAGCTACCAATATAAAACGGTATCACGGCTTTAATTCTCCGAGAATCGTAAGATCGATCTGATTTTCGTGGAAAAAAAACCTATTTTAAGTAGACATAATAATGTACCTATGATAATGTATGTACGTGCGCACATAAGCACGTAGAAATCATAGGACAGATGTATAAGCTTTTAGTGCCGATAAAAAAAAAACCATTTTATAGAAAAGAAAGGAAGTAAAACGCAAAATCATTTTATAGAAAAGAAAGGAAGTAAAGCGCTTTATATATTCTTTTATGTCTAACATATATGCAAATAATGTAACAAATGAGAGTAACATGAATCGAAACTCAGAGGACAATGATGCAAACAGTATAATCGAACCTGTTCGATTTTAAGTACATACGTACATACCTTAAGAATTTTATTTATTGTACTCTTTAGAGATGTGCATTAAGCATCTTATCGCTGCATAGTGTTTAATTGTCACATAGAACTTATGTAAACATTAAAATTCATGAATAATAATGTAATAATTAAGCACTATGCGTGAATGTCCATTTTTAACTATGTTATAAAGAAATAATATTACCTTTATTTTAATATTGTAGTTATGTTTATGCCTATATAAATATTAACAATATAGAGTGCGTTATACAAAAAACACATTGTTTTGCTACATATGTACATACGACATACGTACAGTATATGTAGTACGTACGTACAGTAAATACGTAAGCTTTCTATTAAATTCTTTAAATAGACCTTCTCACCTCACAATAGAGAGGTAAAATTTTTATATGTTATCGTTATATTATTAATCAAATGGGTGACACCAATGGAAAGTCGGACTTTTTGGCTTCAAGTTTATTATTCATTATTTACTAGAATCAGCCCTGACCAGAGACATGAATGCTGCAAAGGGAAAATCTGCATTGTGAATTTTCCGAAATAAATTTTATAGAAACGACTTATCAGACAATTGATCCATTAAAATAGATATCATCAGGAATCTGATCACTGTTTCGGAAAAGCGGAGCGGAAAAAAACCGAAATTGCAGGTTTTAGCTTTGCTGCACTCATATATAATACGCATGTAAATTTAATTACATGTTATATGTGTCACAGTAAATTTGATTTTGGTAATAAACTTGAAGCTAGAAGTCTTGTTTTCCTTCGATATCACTCAAATACTATACACTAGACTTCATTTTTCCCAATTATTTCAACAAATAAATGTATAGAAACAATTTTGAAATTTATCAGCAACTTTGTATCATAATAAATTAGCCCTTACATTGAGAGTTGGCGTATTTTTAAAAGCTGATATAATTGTTGATATGCTTATATCACCCTGTAAATGCTCCGGCTCAGAACTTGAAATCGGAACATCAGGAAATATGACATCTTAAAAAGGTTTTAGTACACAACAAAGTATAAATATTACAGTATATATCTCATGTCCCGTAGCCTATAAACATTCACTAATACAAACTTGGCTTGAAACGTATGTCATTGCGTATAAATGAATGTTTTTTTCTGTTAAAATGAATATAATAAAAATTAAAGTCTATGATACTAACCATTTATTCTCAAATTTTTCCATATCAATATGCGCAGAATTTAAAAAAGCGAACTACAAAGGAATCCTTAGTGTAACTTATTGTGTGAACGCAAATATTTGCCAACAAGGATGCATCTATTACGTATAATAAAAAATTGCCATAAAAAAACTATCATTAATGAGGTCAGCAGGCATTATATTCCAATAAAAATTTATTCTGGAAAAAATATGACTCATTAAAATCGGATTTTTTTTTAAAGAATTCCGTGAAAAGTACCTTTTACGAATTTATAAATGCAGAATTGACAAAAAGGTCCACTTCAATAAAAAATGAAAGAAAATGGGTTTCAAAATTTTGTTTCTTGAACGACACTACTCAAGCGAAAAAGATCATCTTGATGTTTTTCCGATACGGGTCTAATAAAGGAACCAATATCTATTATACAGTTATAAGGTGATAAAATGTCGCGGTCATGTGATCTCCGACCGTTTCCGACCCATTAATGTATTGATAATAATAACATCGATATATGATCAATATATCAATTTAATATAATGTAAGTATTAAGTTCGGACCGTCAAATGAGTCGTAAACGGTCGACAATCACGTCACCGCGACATTTTTATGGCACAACTAAACAGGAGGAACCGTCAATGTTACATGACTGATCCTTCACTCGATGTGCAACATATAAAAAAATTATTTTACAATACCAGTTCATTCCGCTAGTACATGTTATGATTATAATCCCACACCATTTTTATATTATAAAATAAAATGGTGTGGGATTATAATCATAACATGTACTAGCGGAATGATCTGGTATTGTAAAATAATTTTTTTATATGTTGCACACCGGGTGAAGGATCAGTCGTGTACTGTAACATCAACGTTCCCTCCTGTTGTACCTGATACTGTACCGATATGTACGTACGTACGTACGTATATATTACCAGTCACACGATTTGTCACGCAGATCAGGGGGGTAAATTTTTTATTATGAAATTTGAGTGATCGACATTCATATGATCGACCCATTTTTCATAGTAAATTGCAACGGTAGGCCCTTTTCATACACCATTTTCAGGGGTCTTTCAAAAGGAAATCGTATTTGCGTGATGAGGTACAGCCATTCAGGAATACAAGAACTTGTCGATTTTCTAAGTTTAAAGCGGGAAAGTAGTAAAGATAAAATTAATCACCCCTTCAAAGTTAGACTTTTGTTTCATTTTTTATATAGCAATTTTATAGGTTTTTTTGAGAGTTGTTTGAAGATTTACGACTTTGAACTATTGAAAGATTTGTGAT